AGCTTGTAAATATGTGAAGGAGTCATTTCCGACCCTATAAATCATATATATTCTTGATCAGGATCAACAGGCGAATCTTTCTAGCCATAAAGGAGAGAAAATAAATTTTTGCCAATTTTTTCAATATTTTATAAGGGGTTACATCGTTAAAATTGGCAAAATTGTGATTTTTTTACATTTTAAACTGAGTATGCAGATTTATTACCCTACTAAAAACTAGCACAGGGCTGCTTTCCGATTTAAAATTAATGCTTTTTTGGCCTAGCTATGAGTTTTTTAAAATTTGAATTTGTGGAACAAATTGTCATATAAAAAATAAATAATATCGACTAAAAATTGGTATTTAGGCTTTAGTCAGAAGCTTGTAAATATGTGAAGGAGTCATTTCCGACCCTATAAATCATATATATTCTTGATCAGCATCAACAGGCGAATCTTTCTAGCCATAAAGGAGAGAAAATAAATTTTTGCCAATTTTTTCAATATTTTATAAGGGGTTACATCGTTAAAATTGGCAAAAATTGTGATTTTTTTACATTTTAAACTGAGTATGCAGATTTATTACCCTACTAAAAACTAGCACAGGGCTGCTTTCCGATTTAAAATTAATGCTTTTTTGGCCTAGCTATGAGTTTTTTAAAATTTGAATTTGTGGAACAAATTGTCATATAAAAAAATAAATAATATCGACTAAAATTGGTATTTAGGCTTTAGTCAGAAGCTTGTAAATATGTGAAGGAGTCATTTCCGACCCTATAAATCATATATATTCTTGATCAGGATCAACAGGCGAATCTTTCTAGCCATAAAGGAGAGAAAATAAATTTTTGCCAATTTTTTCAATATTTTATAAGGGGTTACATCGTTAAAATTGGCAAAATTGTGATTTTTTTACATTTTAAACTGAGTATGCAGATTTATTACCCTACTAAAAACTAGCACAGGGCTGCTTTCCGATTTAAAATTAATGCTTTTTTGGCCTAGCTATGAGTTTTTAAAATTTGAATTTGTGGAACAAATTGTCATATAAAAAATAAATAATATCGACTAAAATTGGTATTTAGGCTTTAGTCAGAAGCTTGTAAATATGTGAAGGAGTCATTTCCGACCCTATAAATCATATATATTCTTGATCAGCATCAACAGGCGAATCTTTCTAGCCATAAAGGAGAGAAAATAAATTTTTGCCAATTTTTTCAATATTTTATAAGGGGTTACATCGTTAAAATTGGCAAAAATTGTGATTTTTTTACATTTTAAACTGAGTATGCAGATTTATTACCCTACTAAAAACTAGCACAGGGCTGCTTTCCGATTTAAAATTAATGCTTTTTTGGCCTAGCTATGAGTTTTTTAAAATTTGAATTTGTGGAACAAATTGTCATATAAAAAATAAATAATATCGACTAAAAATTGGTATTTAGGCTTTAGTCAGAAGCTTGTAAATATGTGAAGGAGTCATTTCCGACCCTATAAATCATATATATTCTTGATCAGCATCAACAGGCGAATCTTTCTAGCCATAAAGGAGAGAAAATAAATTTTTGCCAATTTTTTCAATATTTTATAAGGGGTTACATCGTTAAAATTGGCAAAAATTGTGATTTTTTTACATTTTAAACTGAGTATGCAGATTTATTACCCTACTAAAAACTAGCACAGGGCTGCTTTCCGATTTAAAATTAATACTTTTTTGGCCTAGCTATGAGTTTTTTTAAATTTGAATTTGTGGAACAAATTGTCATATAAAAAATAAATAATATCGACTAAAAATTGGTATTTAGGCTTTAGTCAGAAGCTTGTAAATATGTGAAGGAGTCATTTCCGACCCTATAAATCATATATATTCTTGATCAGCATCAACAGGCGAATCTTTCTAGCCATAAAGGAGAGAAAATAAATTTTTGCCAATTTTTTCAATATTTTATAAGGGGTTACATCGTTAAAATTGGCAAAAATTGTGATTTTTTTACATTTTAAACTGAGTATGCAGATTTATTACCCTACTAAAAACTAGCACAGGGCTGCTTTCCGATTTAAAATTAATGCTTTTTTGGCCTAGCTATGAGTTTTTTAAAATTTGAATTTGTGGAACAAATTGTCATATAAAAAAATAAATAATATCGACTAAAAATTGGTATTTAGGCTTTAGTCAGAAGCTTGTAAATATGTGAAGGAGTCATTTCCGACCCTATAAATCATATATATTCTTGATCAGCATCAACAGGCGAATCTTTCTAGCCATAAAGGAGAGAAAATAAATTTTTGCCAATTTTTTCAATATTTTATAAGGGGTTACATCGTTAAAATTGGCAAAATTGTGATTTTTTTACATTTTAAACTGAGTATGCAGATTTATTACCCTACTAAAAACTAGCACAGGGCTGCTTTCCGATTTAAAATTAATGCTTTTTTGGCCTAGCTATGAGTTTTTTAAAATTTGAATTTGTGGAACAAATTGTCATATAAAAAATAAATAATATCGACTAAAAATTGGTATTTAGGCTTTAGTCAGAAGCTTGTAACTATGTGAAGGAGTCATTTCCGACCCTATAAATCATATATATTCTTGATCAGCATCAACAGGCGAATCTTTCTAGCCATAAAGGAGAGAAAATAAATTTTTGCCAATTTTTTCAATATTTTATAAGGGGTTACATCGTTAAAATTGGCAAAAATTGTGATTTTTTTACATTTTAAACTGAGTATGCAGATTTATTACCCTACTAAAAACTAGCACAGGGCTGCTTTCCGATTTAAAATTAATGCTTTTTTGGCCTAGCTATGAGTTTTTTAAAATTTGAATTTGTGGAACAAATTGTCATATAAAAAATAAATAATATCGACTAAAAATTGGTATTTAGGCTTTAGTCAGAAGCTTGTAAATATGTGAAGGAGTCATTTCCGACCCTATAAATCATATATATTCTTGATCAGCATCAACAGGCGAATCTTTCTAGCCATAAAGGAGAGAAAATAAATTTTTGCCAATTTTTTCAATATTTTATAAGGGGTTACATCGTTAAAATTGGCAAAAATTGTGATTTTTTTACATTTTAAACTGAGTATGCAGATTTATTACCCTACTAAAAACTAGCACAGGGCTGCTTTCCGATTTAAAATTAATGCTTTTTTGGCCTAGCTATGAGTTTTTTAAAATTTGAATTTGTGGAACAAATTGTCATATAAAAAATAAATAATATCGACTAAAAATTGGTATTTAGGTTTTAGTCAGAAGCTTGTAAATATGTGAAGGAGTCATTTCCGACCCTATAAATCATATATATTCATGATCAGGATCAACAGGCGAATCTTTCTAGCCATAAAGGAGAGAAAATAAATTTTTGCCAATTTTTTCAATATTTTATAAGGGGTTACATCGTTAAAATTGGCAAAATTGTGATTTTTTTACATTTTAAACTGAGTATGCAGATTTATTACCCTACTAAAAACTAGCACAGGGCTGCTTTCCGATTTAAAATTAATACTTTTTTGGCCTAGCTATGAGTTTTTTAAAATTTGAATTTGTGGAACAAATTGTCATATAAAAAAATAAATAATATCGACTAAAAATTGGTATTTAGGCTTTAGTCAGAAGCTTGTAAATATGTGAAGGAGTCATTTCCGACCCTATAAATCATATATATTCTTGATCAGGATCAACAGGCGAATCTTTCTAGCCATAAAGGAGAGAAAATAAATTTTTGCCAATTTTTTCAATATTTTATAAGGGGTTACATCGTTAAAATTGGCAAAAATTGTGATTTTTTTACATTTTAAACTGAGTATGCAGATTTATTACCCTACTAAAAACTAGCACAGGGCTGCTTTCCGATTTAAAATTAATGCTTTTTTGGCCTAGCTATGAGTTTTTTAAAATTTGAATTTGTGGAACAAATTGTCATATAAAAAAATAAATAATATCGACTAAAAATTGGTATTTAGGCTTTAGTCAGAAGCTTGTAAATATGTGAAGGAGTCATTTCCGACCCTATAAATCATATATATTCTTGATCAGCATCAACAGGCGAATCTTTCTAGCCATAAAGGAGAGAAAATAAATTTTTGCCAATTTTTTCAATATTTTATAAGGGGTTACATCGTTAAAATTGGCAAAAATTTTGATTTTTTTACATTTTAAACTGAGTATGCAGATTTATTACCCTACTAAAAACTAGCACAGGGCTGCTTTCCGATTTAAAATTAATGCTTTTTTGGCCTAGCTATGAGTTTTTTAAAATTTGAATTTGTGGAACAAATTGTCATATAAAAAAATAAATAATATCGACTAAAAATTGGTATTTAGGCTTTAGTCAGAAGCTTGTAAATATGTGAAGGAGTCATTTCCGACCCTATAAATCATATATATTCTTGATCAGCATCAACAGGCGAATCTTTCTAGCCATAAAGGAGAGAAAATAAATTTTTACAATTTTTTCAATATTTTATAAGGGGTTACATCGTTAAAATTGGCAAAAATTGTGATTTTTTACATTTTAAACTGAGTATGCAGATTTATTACCCTACTAAAAACTAGCACAGGGCTGCTTTCCGATTTAAAATTAATGCTTTTTTGGCCTAGCTATGAGTTTTTAAAATTTGAATTTGTGGAACAAATTGTCATATAAAAAATAAATAATATCGACTAAAAATTGGTATTTAGGCTTTAGTCAGAAGCTTGTAAATATGTGAAGGAGTCATTTCCGACCCTATAAATCATATATATTCTTGATCAGCATCAACAGGCGAATCTTTCTAGCCATAAAGGAGAGAAAATAAATTTTTACAATTTTTTCAATATTTTATAAGGGGTTACATCGTTAAAATTGGCAAAAATTGTGATTTTTTACATTTTAAACTGAGTATGCAGATTTATTACCCTACTAAAAACTAGCACAGGGCTGCTTTCCGATTTAAAATTAATGCTTTTTTGGCCTAGCTATGAAGTTTTAATTTTGGATTTGGGGATAATGATAATATTTTAATTAATAAATATTTACCTTGTTCTTTTTCAGCTTAAACTGTTGCAGCTGCGAGGCCAGCGAGCCCATGAGATCAGCCTGGGGATCATCCTTCTTGGGCGCTCCACCTAAGCCTGGTGGTGGGGGCGGCGGAGGTGGAGCTCCAGGGCCTCCTGGCCCACCTGGCGGTGGTGGTCCGACGCCCATGGCTGGCGGCGCGGGCGGTGCCGGCGGCTGTGGCGGCGGCGGTGCGCCATTGAACATCTGTGGCGGCGCTGGCGGAGCACCCGGTGCTCCCCCAAAGCTGGGCGGCGGCGGGGGCGGAGCAGGAGCTGGCGGTCCGACTGGGCCGCCGCCGCTTTGGCTGCTCATGCGATTGAGCGGCACCTGACCGGGCTGCTGCTGCTGTGACGGATTCATGGGCGGCGGCATGGGCACCTGGCCGTAAGGATTCTCCACCTGCTGTTGGGGCGGGGCTCCTGGAGGACCTCCGTAGCCCGGACCAGGCATCGCGGGCGCCTGAGGCGCCTGTGGATGCGCCTGCGGTAGCATCTGCTGCTGGCTGGCATACACCACACTGTTGGCACTCGCCGAGCTGGGCAGGTGGCCGGGTGGGCCCACCATGTACATGCCGCCGTTCTGGAGCGGCGGCGGCTGGGGCGCCTGCTGCTGCTGCTGTTGGGGCTGCTGCTGTGTTGGGTATTGATGCACAGTGAGATTGGGATTAGAATTGGAGAGCACGTAGTGGGGCTGCTGGTACTGCTGGTGGTAATGGTGGTGCGGGGTTCGGGTTTTTCAGTGGATTCAGATTCAAGTTCAGGTTCAGGTTCAGGATCAAGCCAATTTGCGAATGAAATGAAACAGAAATACCGCATGAGGACTGTGTGGGAAATGGGGCGAGGTTAGGCCTTCGGCACTCACCACCTGGTTGGGCGCATAGCCCGCCTGGACCTGGACCATCTGCTGGTACTGCTGCGGCTGAAACTGTTGCTGCTGCTGCTGCTGGGGCGCCTGCTGCTGTTGCTGCTGCGGTGCCGGCGGTATCTGTGGATTCACCTGCTGCGGCAGGCCATTCGAAGTGGGTCCATTGCCGGTGGGTCCGTAGTGGGAGCCCGGTTGACCCATTTGCTGCGCCTGCTGCTGCTGTTGCTGCTGCTGCTGGGGCTGCGGTGCCGGCGGGGCGCTGAGGGAATTCCTTTTTGGGTGAGCAAAGGTTTGTCGATACATGGATACATGGAATCAATGAGTGATGTGATCGATGAGGCACGCTTACGGTTACGGAGACAAGGGTTAGGGTGTAGGTATTACATGTACTATAAGGAACAAATGTAATTGTTTCATTCTTCTTTACTTTACGTCCTTCTTTTTAAAACATTGTTGGTCTAATTTATCGCTACTTCGCTTGTGCATTGCAGGCAATTAATCTATCCATTAAGAAATGTAAGAAATCTAAGATTAATCTGCTGAATCTAACAAGAAGATATCTGAGAACTGTAATAATCAACTCGTTGTCTATTAAATCTAATTTTTTTAATGTCTATCACATTTTTAGATAAAAAGAAGTCTATTATGTTAAGTAATGTCTTTTCTTCCACCCAAAACCCAATTATTCTAACTCAAAGACACCTAATTACCTGCTGGTGCGATGGTGACCCTGGGGCGTCGGCGGGCTCTGGGGGATGCTGTTCTGGTTGGTCTGCGAGGTGGGCGTCTGAGCTGAGGGCGTGGTGTGGCCGCCAATGCCGTTGTTTTGCCGCAGAATAGCCGCATCCTCGCTGGTCATCGTGCGATATCCCATGTCCTCCTCATAGCCGTTCCCATTGGTGGGCTGACCACCTGGATTGTTGGCCACCCGGCCGCTGAGCACCTGAGGAAGCGATTGGGAAATTAATTTCTACCTTATGTTTATATTTCAAGAGTTACTCACATCCAAGGCATGATGCATGGCCCTGGCAAAGTTTTCCGCATCACTTTGACTCGAAAAGTTCAACCCGTAGACAAATTTGGAATCGCGCCACTGGTGAAAAGTGGCCGTGGCCTGGTTGTACTTCAGTCCCTTGAGGATGGAGCAATTGATCACCACCTCATGATCCTGGAGCTTCCGCCCCACCACGCGGAACGTGTTGTTCTGCTGATGATGGTAGATCTGCACCTTGCTCAGTCCGGACGAAGTGCCCGAAGGCACCCACTTCTTCTGGTTGTCATCGTACACCATCACGGAGGCCCTAGCCCCGATTATGCTCTGCTCACTGAAACGAGAAAATAAAATAGGAATTCGATTAGAAAGAGTATTTAGAGTTAGATTTTTTTTAGGTGAGAAGATGAAGAAGGAATGAAGAATGACAGTTTCAGAAAGAGAACATCCTGTAGAAAGTACAACATAATATTACTTTATTAATTAATATAATATGCCCTGATACCATAATAAATTAACTTAAGTGGAAACTAAGACAAATACATGGAGGTTTTCTAAACGATTATTTTAGAATGAAAGGAAGATGGAACTAATAAAAGATTCCAATTAAATCGTTTTGTTTTTATAAAGATTTATTGAAGACTCGAACTGCTTCCTTAATAAGCATTTATTTGAATTTTAATAGTTTTCATCATAAAAATTAGTTTTAAAATTGATTTACGAATAGAAAGACAGAAAAAAAAGAAAGAAAACTAACTAACTAACTAGAAAATGTTGCCTGTTGAAGCTGATCAAAAATATATATGATTTATAGGGTCGGATATGACTCCTTCACAGCGTTTCACTAGTAATTAAAACTGAATTGCCCCTGTCGTTAAAATATCTTCATAAACTCGATAAAGATAGTTTTTCTGTAGAAGGAATGCCGCAAATGAGAAGAATCGTTTTGCAGATCATTAGAACTCCTCCTCGGGTAGTGCTTCCCTCTTCTAAGCCTCCCAGCTATCACAGTTTTCACACGATTCCAAGTGAGCAAGGGCTTTGATCTATCACAAACACACACAGTCCTCCCTCTTCTCTTCTCTTCCACCTGTAATCCCCCGGAGAATCACGTATAAATCCCCCTTCCAGCTCTCGAGGACAGGAAGTGCAATGCATTTCTTTGTGAGCTCACACACACCTGTCATGCAGTCGCACGGACCGATTAAATGATTCTAATGAAAGTTCTAATATATGAACGTATATAGTCTGCGGCTGGCTCTCAACCTTTAGCATTTTATTCCCTCCTTTCTTACCCAGTTGACAATTAAAGTCTGCTGCCGAGTGTAAACATGGCTAGGAGCAGCAGCCGGAGCAAATGAACGCCTTCATTGGAAAAATGCAAAGGCGATGACGAGTTGTGTTGCCTTGCCTTGCCTTTTGCTCAAACTTGGCTCTAGCTTTGTTTTTTCTCTATTTTTTATGCTGCCAACTAAAGCTTGCTGGTTGTTTGTTCCTGCACTGCTCCAGAGTGACTCCGAGTGGCGACCTGCTCCGTGTTGTGTGAGAGATAATGACGGAGAGTCAAACGAGTCGAGTCTGCAGAATTCTCCAACAGCCCCCTCGGACTTCTGTCTCGGCTTGGCTTGGCTTGACTTGACTTGGCCAAAAGCCGCAAGTAGTTTTGCACTTAAATGGAGTGCGCAGATCGGCGGTAAAGACACTTGGACGGACCCGAATCCGAATCCGAATCCGAATCCGAACCCGAGCTCTGGCCACAGCTGTGCGCGAGTTGGGTCTCAGGGCCTTATATAACAACGGCCAACAGATCGCAAGAGCCAAGCCGAACGACTGCCTTTGATTTGCATCGAATTCGTGGCAACGAAAGTGAAGTTTTGCGCACACAGCGAGAAAAAAGGAATACCAATAAATGGTATGTGTTTAATTATTTGCATGTCAAATAATCTTGGATTTAAACTATGGCAGAATGCATTGTAAAGTTAAAGCTGGTAAGCTGGTTCCTTGGTATAAATTATTTGAGATAATTAAGGGAAATGAAGGCGAGGATATCTTGGCAGAGTTACTTTCTTTGTTCTTGGTTAAATTTAATAATTTGAAACTCTGTGACTCAGCCTAAACACAAAAATCTTTGCTCAATTTGCACGTAAATCGAGCACACCAAACGTGATAGTAAAGACTCTTTTAAGTTTTCTTAAATGAATGAAATGAATCATTACTACATCACTTAGGGCATTCAAATATAGTGAAAACCTAATTGTTCTGTTCTGCATACTTAAAAATCTACCAAAGAATGTATGAATGGTAATAGCTAATAGAAAAAACCCATATTTCAATACAAATTTCCTCGCCGTGTGCCTGGAAAACTTCAAATGTATATCGAAAAATGCGCCCAAGAAAATAGATTAATGGATGCTGCCTGCTATATTATAGGTCTGGGGTATATGATGCCTATAATTGAGCCACTGATCTGCCCCTTGAAGCGTATTTTCCATATACAAAGTGGCAGGTGAAATTTTCCAAGCCGATCGGGGAATTATTCGTGCATTAAGCTTTAGCTTTTTCATGCCGTTTTTCATACTTTTAAGATGCAGATTCGTGTGTGTACACACGAAAGCGTGTTCCAGCTTAATTGGCGTTAAATTATAATTATGATTAAATGGAGAGCAGTTCAGAGAGTTCTTTGATTTCTGCTCGCAGCTCAGGGCCAACCTGCAGCTACGTGAAGAAGCAAGAGTAAAGTGCGGAAAATGAGGTGGGGATTATTACAAGGACAGACAGACAGACAGGTGGGTTCGGGGGTGGGGTTACACATACGCAAAAATCGTTGTAATGCCCCCAATGAATTTATCTTTGACCGAATTGTGGCGACGCTGTAATGTGTGATGTTGTTTCTGCTGCTGCTGCTGGAGCAGATAGTGATGTATGTTGCTATAGAGATGTGGCTTGTGTTGCTGCTGCTGCTGCTGATGTTGCTGCTGTGCCTGTTGCTGCTGCTGCTGCTGCAGTGTGGCTGTTGTTGCTGCTGTGGTTCTAATTGAAAACGACATGGAGCAGCCTAGTTTGGAGGGTTGCGAGCGAGAGGATTGGCTGGGAATAGCAGGGGAATTGGGTGAATTCGAGGGGGAAACGCACTTCCGAAGAGTGGAAAAGATCAGAGACGAAGAGGAGCTAGGGGATGATGAGGTCAAAGTGGATGATGAACTGGCTATCGATGAGGCAGTGCCTGCAGCTGTGTCCCTGGGTACATACAACATCTGATCCTGCTGCTGCTGCTGCTGCTGAAGAGATCTCTGCTGCTGTGGCGCCTCATAAATGGGTCCAGCCTTGGGCAACTGCAGCACCAGCTTCTCGTGCTCGTGGTAGCGCTGCTGCTGGTAGTGATGGTACATGGGATGGCGGTAGTCCAGCAGATCCAGCTCCTGCAGCTCCTCTATGCTATAATACTCTGACTTGCCACCGCCGACGGGAGGTGACATCTTGTGATGCATACTCTGGCTGCGTCGGATTAGCAGCTCCCCCGGCGGAGCAGGAGCCACCTGGAACTCGCACATCCCATTGCTGCTGGGATGCAGTTGTGGCTGGTGCTGCTGCTGCTGATGCTGCTGCTGCTGCTGATGATGGTGGTGATAGGCCAAAATCGGTGAGGAATTCGAGACATTGGTCGGCTTCTTGCTGGTGAACGAGGTCTTGGCATAGAGCTTCTTCATGGCCATTAACCGTTGGCCAATATTTGCAGAGGTGTCACACACGCACACACTGATACCACTAAAGAGCTCCCACGATCGAAAGCACTCGGAAATGTCGTCGCAATGTTTGCCTAGGCTATATGGAATCACTGCCCACTGGATCACACTGCGATCTGCGATCTGCGATGTACGATCTGCGTTCACCGATCTCTGCCCTGCTCACGTCCGTTCACACTCAAGACCCGCTGGAGACTGAAGCCAAGAGCCAGAGATCCAGACCAAGATTGAGACGCCTCTCAGACCGAAACGATCTCCGGCTCGAGGCCAAGACAAACAAAGCCCCAGAGAGAGAGAGCGAGTAAAGAGCGAAGTGAGCTGCTGCTCCACGATCTCTCCCTCGCCGGTGAGATTGGCTCTCTTCTGGCGGTTCGTCTAAAAGGCAAATAATTACACTTCAAAGTCAATAAAATAATGAGAAATGAGATGAGTGTGTGTGTGTGCCGGTGGTGATGATGCTAAGGAAGATGAGCTGACCCCCGAGATGAGAACCGAGCATAATGGTCAGGTAGATAGATGTAGTAGATGGAGCGGAACCTGCCACAAAAGATTCCCAACTGCCATGACAATTAAAAGTAGAAGCTAACGGCTAGAGGAACTATTCAACAAAATACTCTTTATATTGAAAATTTATCAAATGGAAAGATGGATTTGAAGTCTAAAAGTGAGTTTGTTCAATGAGATTCCCTATAACAATTTTACTAGTATTTACTAATTTAAATCGAAATTATACAACTATTAAAGTCAAAGGAAGCTCTTAACAGTCTCTCTGTGAATATGTTTCTTGGTAAAAATATATTAAACCGACATTACTGCTACTTTATCGACTTTAATAATGACCCAATCGTAGTTTCCAAGTACCCTGAGGCAGAGTAACCCCAGATAAACGCTCAAAACTTACAAAGTTAAGCTTGGGGCCAGATTAATGCTGCTTCTGGCAATTCTACAACAACAGAACAGAAAAACCGCGTCTCGTGACCGTCGCTTTAACCAGTCTGTCCGTCCATCTGTCAGTTAGTCATTCGGTCAGTCTGTGATTCAGTGAGTTCCGTCTGTCCATCCGTCCATTTGTACGGCGGCAGTGCGATAATTACTTAAGAAACGAGCTCAATAATTTATATTTCCCCCTCGAGTGACTATTACAAGTATTTCTCCTACTCTTTGCCCCGCTTTTTCCGTTTTTTCCCCCCTCCATTTCAACTGTTCTTTGGCGGCTTAAAGGCGGGGGATTTGAGTTAAGAGCTAAGAGCGGTGTTGTGCACAGCTTGTGGCATGTTATGAAAAATTCAAATATACAAAATTGTAAATCTCAACGACTCCAGAGAGCTCTCTTTGGAGTTTCTGTTTCTGATTCTGTTTCGCCTTTAGCCAACAATTCCCAAACGTAATTTCCAATTAACATTATTGTGGCCCATTGTAAGTGGTTGTAGTGGTGCTCGTTGGCGGTTCACCGATCTCTGATTATCGTCTAGCTTTAATGGCTTTGTCAGAATGTTTCAATTCGGTTCAGTTTTTGGCCCAGAGAGCGTGTGCTGCGGCTTAAATGATTTGGCAACTAAAAAATGTATCTCTGGTTTCTTTTCAGCGCTGGAGTACCCGTAATCCATGTGGACCCGCAGGCAGATAGACAGACAGGCGGTGGAAAAAATCGGAAAATAAGAATGAAAACAAACATAGCCCACACACACATGTAGGTTGCCAGGCAAAGTCGGAGTTGGAGTCAGGAGACCCAACACGGTTTGCCCAGGGCAAACACCGAGAAGTGCTCAGTCTGGAGGAGACCTGAGGAAAGGAGGGGCTGTCCCAATCAATATCGAATATCACCACCCGATAAACTCGTCAAAAAACAACAAAGAAGGGAGGAGTGCTTCCTGCTGTTGCTACACTGCAACAAACTAAACTTAACTAATTGTTAATAAAATATTATAAATTGAATGCACTCTCTAGTTTACATCATTTTTCTGCGAGGAAAAATAGATTCTTTTTCACAGTGTAGCTCAGTAACTCATAAATCCCGACAAAAGCCTGGATTTGGGTCACACTACATACAACAACTGTTGTGAGGCAACTCTTCCTACTCCTTGGACTCCGGCACAGGTGACGATGCGTTGGGATCCATTCAGCTTATGGAAACCGCCTTCAATCAAGTTTGAAGCTCGCATCACGAAAGGATTAAAGTTGGATTGCCACTCATATTTACTTGTGTGAATATCCCACTAAAACTCAAATACAAATAATGACCGTAAAACCGAAACTCGTTTCGTTTGTTTGCCGGCAAACAAGACAAAAAAAGAAAAATGCTTTTGGGAAGAGTATTTCTGATTGTCCGCAAACTTCGGGGGTTTTTTGTAGAGAATTTGAGTTCTTTACCCGAAATTCGAATCGATTAATGCACTCGATAAGGCGGCAATTACGGGCCAAGAATAAATAGAATTCCAAGCACTCTAAAACTGATGGATGCAATTACTGAACTGGCGCCAGATGCACTTCAGTCCTCACCTATTTGGAAGACTCCCCTCGAGCGGTTCCGTGGGACAAATGTTACCCATCGAGCTGCGATCCCGAACTGGACAAGTTCGAAGGGAAAAGCTGCGCAGAAATTAAGTTTAAAGCACTCGCAGCAGTGCCACCGGATTTCCTTGGAGACAGCATTTTAATGATGACACACCCAAAAAAATACAACATAAAATAATATAAAACGCAAACTTGCTGCGTTTTTGCTTATTCACAATTCATTTATATCTAGTGAGGGAGGTTGGTGGTTTTACCAGCATTTTCAGTGAACAAACTCCCCAAATGGCAGGCCGGTCGCCGGCCGCACCCCAGCTTTCAGACCAAACAAATTATGGGGATTAATAAACGAAACGAGGAGCTGCTTGCTGTTCCACTTCCCCGAAAATTAAGGCCCCATTTCCCCCAGGCGGGGGAGGGTGGTAACTGGGCTTGGGTTGGCTATACATTTTCAGGAAAATGTAGGGGGACTCAAAGGTTGACCCATAAATTTCACAGACATTAATTTTCAGAGGTGTCAGGTTAACTAATTTATTGGAAATTAGGGCGTCTCCTTGAAATTGATTTAAAGTCGGAGATGATAAACATATTACATGTTTATTGAGAGTGGAGAATAATAAACTAATTTAGCTGGAAGATATTTAAATTAGCCTTGAAGGTTTAGCTAGGTTTTTACTTTAAATAAATAAGGAATAGATAATGTATTTTTGGCATAATTAGTTAAGGGTCCTAAGATACAACTTGTACTACTAATTATCTTGATGCTCAAATTAAGTAACTTCTTATTACAACTAATAATTAAGCTCGGTTTAGTTTTTGGCCCCAAAAAGGGGCAAACCCATAAAACCTAATAAACAATCATTTATTCTGAGGTGACAAATAGAATTTTAGAAGGAGAATGTGAAGGTCTCTCTCTGGAGAATCTGTGAATTGAACTCAATTTGAATGAAAGACGGAAAATTGTCGTTTGCCTAATTGAAATGTCCTTCACGGGCGATTGACAAGAGCAACAGCTTGTATCTGGCAGATATCAGTACGCAAGTTGTATCTATTGATTGTGGAGCATGCGGTGTAAACTTACGTCATTGTAATTTGGTTTCTGTTGGTTGTGTAGCTGCTTCTTCAGCTGGCTGTGTTGCTTTACTTCTTCGGTTTTCTCTCTGTCTGCTGTGGAGGGAAATTCGCTTCCAGAGTTTCCTTCTTTCCGACGGAGGGCGGGGGTATGAGATCTGCAATAGACAGGAAGCAGGCAAAAGATACAGATACAGATACATATATGTGCATATGTGCAGAGATAGAGACACAAATACAGTTAAGAGTTACAGCCCATAAATCAAGAGCAGAAACCACTCTACGTTTTTGGTGGGAAAATCAATGAGAATTTCCCGGCTCACACACACGTAGCACGTAGCTGGAGGAAAAGCGTGTTGGGTTTGCCAATTTCCGCTAAAAGAAAGCAACAAACACGAGGGTTTTTTTGGCCAAAGTAGTCTATCCTTTCTCCTCGAATGCTTTCCATTGAGAACTATTCAAGCTACTCTTGCTTGTGGACCTTTTTCCCGGCTCAATGGCTATGAATTGATATTGGCCAAAAGCGTATTTTATGAGCCATTTGCGTAATGAGGCAATTGCTTGGAAGGAGAGGGAGAGATAGGTCAATGAACCTCAAGATAAGTAATAAACTTTGGTCTGTAAATCGATTGGGGCTTGGGAACCTTGAAAATCGTTAAAGAGATGGATCGATCATCAATTAACCACGGCCAGGGGCCACAACCAAAGCAGTGAAAGCTTGCGAGATGAATTAATAACCGTCGTGGTGTTAGAACCAAAACTAAAACGAATTTCTGGACAATGGACTTACGATGACAATAAACAAAAGTAAAATGAAAAACGAGGAGAAGGCATTTGCATTTCTAGAGAGGAAAATCAGGTCACCCAGCGTTCTAAAGAAGATCTGGGACGTCCCTCGCGGCCACGCCCCGCGGCATCATCTTGGGCCAAAGAATGTTGACCTAGTTTGTACCGCACCTCCACCGCCACCTCCCTGCTCCTGCTTACGTCATAGAGTTCCGCCTGGAAAAACCTTCATTCAAAAGCACGCACTTGTAGTTTTATTTATTTTCCATCTTTTTTTTCTAGTGGTGAAGCCGGAAATGTGGTTGGTTGTCGGTGCAACATTGCAGCAGGCGGGTGGTGACTTTTTTTAATTGGAAAAATACTTCTACCAGGGGTTGGAGTGAACCCCTGTCCCTGTTAATGGGACAACATTTTACGAGTTACGAGTTACGAGTTAATTTTCGCATATTCCGAAATACAAAACAAATCCCGCTAAAGCCATTGAAGGACAACGACTCTGAGTCCTGGGATGGGCACAGTAGGGATGGGTGTCTAGGGGTTGTGGGCGGGCAGGAGCACATGTGACGCTTCTACCCTCGAAAAATAATGTCCCCGGGGCAATTATCCAACCTAAAAAGCTGAACGAAATACAACAAACTCGGGGAGAGCAGGAGTAAGAGAGAGCAAAAATTAAAAACAAGTGAAATATTTGGCACTCTGGCAGAAATACAGGGAGGTTTGGCCAGAGAAAGAGCAGAGAGATATAGATAGAGACAAGGGGAGGCGACTCGCAACGGGACATCAACCCCTGACCAAGAGTTTGCACTTCAGAAACGCTCTTCCAAGGGGCGGAAGTTCTTCAAGGGATCAAAGTTTATGGGAAGTGCGGTTTTT